GGCTCCGCTCTCCCCGGCGGCCAGAGCGCCGGGGGGAGGGCGGCGAGTCCGGCCGGGGCTCCGCTCTCCCCGACCAGCCAGAGTGCCGGGAGGAGGGCAGCGAGCCAGGCCGGGGCTCCGCTCTACCCGGCGGCCAAAGCGCCGGGGGAAGGGCGGCGAGCCCAGTCGCAACCCCGCTCTCCCCAGCAGCCAGAGCCGGAGCACCGCGCCGCCCCCTCCAGGTGCCGCCTCAAGCACAAGCTTGGTGTGCTAGTGCCTGGAGCCGGCCCTGGCTCCCTGACACAATGTCATACTGTGAATTGGGGCACACAGGGCCCAATTCAGCCTTGAAGTGATTGCAACTCCACTGGTTTCCATGGAACCACATTCCCACAAGCTGCTGCCTTCATGTTGAAGTTGAGGGCATCTGTGGGCTACATTTTAGGACTCCTCCTCAAGCCGCATTTGTCTCACGTGCCGTATTTCGAGTTCCCTGTTCCATTCCCAAAAATATTCTGTCCATTGTTTTGTATAGGTTTTTGGGTTTTAATACTATTAAAGAAAAAGAAGATTCAATTTTCTGAGTAATTGAATATGAATACATTGAGAAAACAAAGAAATCCCACTTAAAGAGTCATTCCGAAACCTTAACACACTCCAGTGCACCTAGCTGTTGCATGGAACTCAATTCTCAGAAATGTCCAAAAAAACCCAACCCAGATGAATGACAATGAATAAAAGATGGATAACAGTATAAATACAGGAATGATGTCAAAAGAATCTAATGAGTTTGAGGCCTGCCAAGATAAGAATATCTGAAAAGTTCTTTTTATTTGCTGTGGGCTTTTAGTGTCATTAGCGCATATCCACACACATGTATAACCCTGATTCTATTTTAATCTTTTAAACTGAGATCAAGTTTTAATATTTCCAGGTGCATAAAATGTTTAGTCCATGTAATGTCTGCAGCTGATACACATCCGGGTGTAGGAAGGAAGGAACCTTAAGACACCTGCTCTAACTACAATGTCCTGCCTCATATACCAGTGTTTGCTACACAAGGTCGGACAATACATGAGGCTGTCAAGCTGGAAATAGCTAGTCAAGGTGTCTTTCTGGACATATGACAATGGTCAGTTACTAAAATTTAATGCTGGATGTTAGCAGCTCTGCTGGTGGAGACTGGCAGCTGCTCAAATTTCTACCTTCTATTGATATTTGTACGGGTGGGATGATGGGACTAGAACATGGCAAGTTCATTCATAAAGATATATGCTTTAATTAGATGTTATCCAATGCTGTTAAAATATAACACATGCCACATATTTCTCAACAGTGTTATGCTTTGCAGTCTAGTAGTCTCTCTAAGATATGACCTTGCCTATCCATCCACACAGCTAAAACTCTCATTCAGGCCCTCATCATCTCACATCTTGATTATTGCAATATCCTTCTCTCTGGCCATGACAAATGCAATCTTGCCCTGCTTGTATCCATTCGGAATGCTGTTGAAAAGATCATTTTCCTATCCCATTGCTTTAGCCATGTCACCCCTCTTATTGTAACCCTCTAGCAGCTCCCCCTCTCTATCGCATCAAACATAAGTTACTTTCATGGTCTATCCACACCCTACATATCATCTCTCATTCACTATTGAAAGGTCAACTGCCATCTCCAATCAGTCAGTGATGCCAGCCTCCATCACACATTTGTAACATTTTCAAACAAGCACCTTCTTGCTTTCTCCCATGCTGCCCTGAACTTTTGGGGGGAGCTCCCCACAAAATTCTGAAAATTTACTTCCTCCTCTTCCTTCAAAACCAACCTCAAAACTCTCCTTTGCTGTGATGTCTACAAAAAAAACTTGACAATGAATAAGCTGCTAGTGTGCTGAAAACCCTGTTTTCCATGCTGACCAATACAGTCTCATTGTTTCCTGGTACTCCCCTATCTCTATCAATCCATTCTCTCTTGTCTTCTACTTGAGATTATAGATTGGGACCGGGACCATCTTTTTATTTTCTGTTTGTATAGCACCATGCACAAGGGGGTCCTTGTCCATGACTAGGACTCCCAGACACTGAGGTAACACAAAATCAATCAATCAATAATAACCATGGCTTTGAAACATTCCCCTCCCTCGGTTTAAAGAGATCAATTCCCCCTCTTGGTTTCGAATAGTGATGGAAGTTGTGTATGTGGAATGAGAAGAAAATCTATGGACTAGATTGTGCAGCAGCCCTAGTTGGGGGTGTGGGGGGGGTGTAGAGGCACTGAATCTTAGACAGGCGTGGTTACCCCAGGCACACAGGAGGGGACCTGCTGCATCACAGGGAGTGAAGCCTGCTTTCCCTTGTACTTCTGGCTGGCCCTGGTGGCCAGCGTGGAAGTCGGGTAGAACCATGGTAATGCTTCCTGCTGTCCCTCTTCTTGGGGGACTACAATTCTGCTTGCCCATTGTTTGGCAGTGTAAGTGTGCGTGGGAAGGATACTTTTGCTCTCCCGCTCCCTACGCAAATGTGCAAGGAGCAGGTTGAATCTGGCCCTATATGTTTTGTTTTATACATCAGTAACAATTCTGGTTAGGAGCTACAAGCAGAATGTGTCCCAGGAAAATTTTAGATCAATCACTTGGCCAGTTATGTTTACATGAAAGTGAGACTAGAAGCACACCATCAAAGCACTGGTCCATCAAAATAACCCACTGGGCCATGACCATAAAAATAAATT